TCGCTGGGTGATACATGAGCTGGTGGTCTAACCACCTACCAAAGCTTGAATTCTGAAGACACTGTGTACTAGGAAGAGCCACAGCTACAAACCCATAGCCTGGTTTTTCCACCACAACACCATTTCCCAATCTATTGTTCACACTCTGATCCTTTCTGAAGCTTGGGTTCCACCATCTTGATACATTCTCGTCTTTTCTCTGTGTCCCAAGCAGCGTGGGTATGCATAGGCCTCAGCCCATCAGCTGAGGGATCTATGGCCACCCATTGGTTCTAATTATGCCTTTGCCCATCAGCTCAGAGATCTGAGGAAAAGTCTTCACAGGATCCTATGCCTCTAGGATAAAGTCCAAACTCAGTTCGTCCACTCTTCCCCTCCAGTAGCACCTGCGTCCCGTAGCCTCGCAGTCCTCTGTGAAAGGGTTAGCAGTATACCTGAAGTGTAATTCTGGGGATCCTTGTGGTGCTGGAACTGGACAGAATGTGGCCATCCCCCAAACCCAGCCTTGGAGTTCACAACCTGCAAGGGTCCACACTGACCCTCTCTCTGACGCAGCTTCCTCCTAAAGATAATGGGGACCATGCTACATATTAGTGAGGTGGTTGTGGAGCTGAATGTGTGAGTATGTGTTGAGCACATACACCAGCACACAGAACATGCAAATCCTTCACAACCGTTGCCCTGGATTACGGAAACACGATAATAATGTCGCCTCCTGCCTGCCACAGTCTTCCTTCAACTTTGTCTGAAAAGTGTGTCCCTCCTGTCTCAGGCCCTGGAGCTTGGCTTTTCTGAAGCCATTGCAGCTCTGGGTTGAAAGCATTCGCAAGGGTGTTAGTGTGTGGTTTTAAAAAAATCCAGGTTCTGCTGACCCCTCTTTTCCTCTGGAATGAAGACTTAAGTATAAAATTAGGATTAAAGTATGAGGGAAAAAAGAGTAAGGCCCGGAGGTGGCAGACAGGCTTAGTGTATGAAGGGAAATAATCCAAGCTAAGTGTTAGGAAACGCCACAGGGAAACATGTTACTTTGTGTGCTAAGACATTAGAAATAAATAAATAAAAGTAAAGTTAAAAAAAAAAAAAAAACAGCAACAAAATATCTGTCTCACTAGAGTTGTCAGGAAAAGTCTAGGCCATTTGTAAAAATGTTAAATTGTTGGTTTGTCTTTGGTTTTGGTTTGCTTAGCAGCCTTTCTTAGATGTTTTGGGACTTGCTGACTGTGAGGGAAAAGCCTGTTCTACCAGCACTTAGGAAATGGAAGCAGGGGGATTGGGAGGATTGGGAGTTGAAAGTCTTTCTTAGCTGCAGATCTAATTTGAGGCCAGCCTGGGCTACATAAGACCCTGTCCAAAACCAAAACAAAACAAAAACAAAAAACAAAACAAACTGAAACCAAACAAAACAGCCAAGGTATTATAATAATCCCTTTACGGATTCTGGACCTGAAGTTAAGATAAAGACAAGGTCTTTTTCATCCTCATATTGGAAGCACAAACACAACATCAGTCACTGAGCTCGAACACACCTTGGCCAATGCATGAGACCCTTGGCTCCCAACGCTATAAGTTGTCTTAGAGGACAGTGATGGAGGTGTTGTAAAGGAATAATTCCTGTCTTTCTTTGGAAAAGGCTGAACTTGGACTTTAACCGGTGCCACAGAGCCTTATTAGGCACAGAAAAATAGGAGTAGAAGCCTGGCCCAGAGGATTTGTTCTGGGTGGCCAAGATACAACACAGGCTTTCCCATGGGACCAGCTGCATCGTTACAATTCTTCAACATGATGTCTATCTATTGTTCATGAGGAACCTGCTTTGTGGCATTGACTGGTCACCACATTCTGATGTCGAGCAGTTCCCACAGTTCCTCAAAACGGCCCATATATCCAAAATGCTGACTCCGGCACACTTTCTTCTATTGGTTTTCCCTCTTTCATAGTGGGAGCCCCATCATCTCCAGCTGTGGATGTGAGGAATAGGTGTGGGGTATATCTGACAGAATACTGCCCGTGTACCCTCCTGGACCCTGAAACGCTCTGCCCATGGTACACTGGTCCTGTTTCCAGGGACACAGAGGTTCTCTTTTGGGGTTCTTGGTCTCATTAATAAAAGAGTTTAAAAACAGACTCAGGAGGAGGCTCGTCAACAGTTTATTCAATTTTAGAGTGTAAGGGGAAAATTACAGTATAGGTTAGGTGGGAACCCTGGCTGTGCCAGGAGAAAAGGTGGAGGGAAAAATCATGTCTCTTAAATTAGCCATGGAGTATATTTAAAGTTAGAAGCATTCTCAAGGGTGGGAGGGGTGATGAGTGGAGAAAAGAGCCCCAATCGTCTTACGGTGTAGTGGCTGTGTGGCCTTCGGTTGCCCCTCCCCCTGTGTTTCCTCGGGGGGGGGGGCGCTTTCTTGGCTTCTTGGCATGTGCTCTGCTTCCTAGATAATCCCAGGTAAAGTGGAGGCTTCTTGTCTTCCTCTGAGTACTGGCTTCTTCCATGCTAACCTTGCAGCTGCTTTCTTCCGTTCCTAATCTCTGGTCCCATCTTAGCCTTGCTGGCCTCAGAGCCTGGATCTTCGTTCCTCTCAAAATGCAGCCACGGTGTTCTGCTTAGAGCTGTATGTATTTTGTCCGATTCTCCCAATCAAGCTTACAGTTTATGCAACATACTGATTCAATTAGCCTTTCATTCCGGGGTCCAATTGTGAGTCAATTCTTGGGTTGTTAAAGTGAGTCTGGTGGTGTTAGCCTGTACAGAGGAGAGGGGCTGTAATCCCCATCACGATGCCATTGTTAACAGTGTGATCCGGAGACTCAGTCACATTCCAGAGTGGGTGATCACCGAGGTTTGGCCACCACCGCCATCTAGGTTCTGTGTAGAGCTGTCTGAACTGGAGTTGAGCTTTGCTGAATGAGAAACCCAGGGCCATTAAAGCATTAATTTCATGGCCAGAATTTTTTGGTTTTTTCTGAAATTAACACTCCATTCGAGCTGAACGCCGTCTGACACAGTTGGGTAAACCTGAGGTATCTTTAGAGATTTCCTGCAGAAAAGAAATCCTTTAGCTGGACTGTAGAATTAGCCAGGTCCTGTGCCATTCCATGTGCTCAGTACAAGGTAGAGGGCACCAGCGAGGCCCTGGCTGTGTTTGTGGTCCAGGTGTTCACACTTTCAGAGCCTCGCCTGACCTGGTGGGGGAGGGGTGGTGTCCAGGGCTGCTTAGTGTTAGCCTGCAGCCCTGCTCCAGACCTGTGCTGGGAGACTTGCCAGGGAGTGCTGGCGTTAGGTAGAGAAGATGAAGCAGATACCAACACCTGTCCTCCTGAGGCCCCTGGAGATGAGCCCACCACCCAGAATGCAGAGCCCCTGCAGTGTACTGTGAGCTGTGACCACTGGCAAGGCCTTTGCATGAGCTCTCTAATTAAAATGGTAGCAAAGATCCAGGCATAGTAGCTTATGTGCATGATCCCAGCACATGGGAGGCTCAGGCAGGAGGATGACAAGTTTGAGGACAGCCTTGACTACATAGCAAGACCTTATCTCAAAAAACAAAACGAATCCCAGGACGCCCCCCCCCCAAAAAAAACCTAGAAGAAAGTGGGCCTTTACAAGCCTGTAACTCCTACATCCATGCCCAGCTCAGTGCTGCAAACTCGGCTTCCTGGGGTCTCGTCAGGCTACAGGAATTACAGTTTCTCTTGTGCAAGAAGTAGAATCCGGACTGGGCATGTCAGCAGCTGAGCTGAGTGAGAGCTGAGCTGAGTGAGAGGCTCCTTGCTGGGTACGCACATCCCCAGGTTCATGGTGCTCTCCTGTAGAAACAGGACTGTTCTCTGCCGAGATGGCCTCACAGGAGGCTACTTCTTATTCAGGATTTCCCCAACAATATCCCTTCGAAGAGCCTGAAACAGCCCCATGCCAAAAATTAGCCCTCTATGTCCCCATACCAGTGAGTCCGGGGCTTCTGAATCTCCACAGTCAGGGCTTCCTGGTGAGTGTGCAAGCCTCTGGAGAGTTCTGGGAATGCTAAAAGCCACATCCTGGCTGAGGGATCCTGCAAACGAGGCCAGCCACGGGCCTGCCCCTGCCGTGCCTCACCCTCCCCTCTTGACTTCCCTGTCACTCTCAGAAAAACCAGCTCTTTCCTGGCATGGGGCTGGGGACAGCATGGGACTGGAGTGGGGATAAGGAAAGACTCAAGAGACAGAGACATGCATTTTTCAAGGCTCTAGGAATTATGGGAGCAGATGGGCTGTAGGATCTCATTTTGATGCCAGGAACATGTTTCTGTATAAAGTAAATATTTTCCCACTGTGGATCTCCGGTGAGCGTGTGGAGAAGCATATTTCCTAAAGATGCAAATAAGTCTAGTCAGAAATAAATATTGAATGGAAACTTCAAAGCCTTTAGATTTCTCTAGTTATAGGCCCTGAAGATTTCTGTCCAAACAAGCAGAGACACACAGGTAGTTGAAGGCTTGGGGAGGGGCAGGTGGAAGGTTGAATAAAGAAAGGGTATGCCCATATTTTAGGGTTCTCTCTCTCTCTCTCTGGGGGATGCGGGGTGAGGGAGAAAGCAAGGGAGCACAGAAAGTCATATTGACAAAGGAATTACTGTTACATCTGTCCAAACGATGATATTTTCTGTCTTCATATATATTTTGTGTTTGTCATAGACACACATTATACCTTATGTATTTATGAGCTATGGAGGTGACATTTCAACACATGTGCATATGCAGTGTCTAATGATTTGGCTAGTTGGCATGTTCATTACGCCAGAGATGTATCACATCTTTGTACTGCGAACATCCAAAATCTTCTCTACTAACCGTTTTGAAGTCACAACTAAGTGTCAGCAGCCACAGGTGCTTCCTGAGCTGAGAGCCTTAGGAAGTTGATCCTCTGACCAGCCACACCCTGAGCCTGTTACCAGCATCTTCCTGCACCCTCCCCTCACTCCAGAGGCCTGGGGTATTTTCAGCACGCCCCCCCCCTTTCTGTTGCAGATCTCGCCTCGCAGATTTCTTTACCAACTGCCAGCCAGAGTCAAGGTCTGTTAGCAGCTGTCTTAAGGAGAACTATGCAGACTGCCTCCTGGCCTACTCAGGACTGATTGGTAAGACCGGGGATTACAGAGCTGTCTATTGCAGGCTTCGATGTCTGCACAAGAGACAACTTCCCAGTAGCCTCTGTACTGGAGTTTGAAGATAGCTGGGAGGGAGGGAGGGAGGGAACAGGATTGTTGGGCATGAGGGAGGGGGTTAAGGGGGAGGGAGGGAGGGATAAGGGGGAGGGGGGAAGGGAACAGTGCCGGAGAAAGGAATTGGGGTAACTATAGAGCAGGAAGGCTACATATTCTGAAGGGGGTTGGGACAACTGGAGCAGGGGATCCACAGTCATGGGGGAAGAAAGCACTTCAGGCACTGTCAATCAAATCAAGGAAAGGTAGAAAGCAGGAGCTTGGAAGTCGGGAGCTGCTTCCGGGAAAATGGATTCCTCAGCATGGCGGAGCTTCCCGCCATTATTGTTCTAGATCATTTGACTCCTGGCGTACAGGAGATTGTTGAAAGCTAATCTCCCCCCCCCCCCCCCCCCCGTAAACAACTGTTCGAAAGTAGAAACAGTGTTTTCCAGTTTGGGAGTCCTGTAGTGCTAGGAGAGCCATATTCTCAGTATTCTAGAGAATAGTGAGATTAAACAAGCCAGGAAGAGGCTGACTCACATCCGGGGTAAATAGTGCTGGCAGGAAGAAAGGCAGGTGTCCCATGTATTGGGGACAGCTGAAGCTTCTCTGTCAGGGTTCCATCACAGTTGGCATTTGAGACGTAACGTTGAAGGCTGTGGAGGGTGAGAGAAATCACAGCTGTCATACGGCCCTGGCTGAGCGGCATCTCACTCCTAGGGTCCATGCCAGTCAGGTCCTACACATCACCAGCGGGGACTCCCTCTCACCTAGAACGACAGCACAGGCTAACCTTACTGTCAGAAGAGCCTTTGGCTTAAGTGAGTGTACAGTGCAAAGTGACTTCCAGTTCTGGACACCCCAGCCACTCCCAACTTTTTGCGAGGACCCCTGTGCTCCCTAGTGTAACCCTTTAATACTCTCACAGTTCCTCCGGGAATATACCAGCAAGTGTACGTGCCCTCCTTAAGTTAGAACTGTAGAAACAAACATATTCATGCCCTCCTTAACGAAGGTCCTAGTCTCTACCTGGGATTGCATATACAATGATGGAATTGCAGAAATAACAAAAGCAATTAAGGCGTAACCACTGTTTAGAAAGGAAAACTAAAGCCAGAGATGCTCCCAGAAGACAGTTAAGTCTCTGCAGATGTAATCACTGTTAGTACTTCAGTCTGTGTCCTTCCAGGAGTTCATGCTCGTTAACTCCCCTGTGAGCCGCCAAGGAGAGTGACTGCCAGCGTGTCTGTGAGATCATTCCCAGGCTTGGCAAAGCCTTCCATGTCTCAGGATGATGAAATGGAAGGAGCAAATGGTAGATGGAGTGTGTTGTGCAGGCCAAGAACTGTTTCTCTCCCAGTCTGGGTCTCTGCTACACGGTTTCCCGAGGAGGCGGTGGCGCCTGACTTCTGCCTCTCCCACATGTCAGGGCTCCCTTGTAGCATCTCGGGTCAATGGCTCTGACTTCCTCATTCTGTTCCCAGTGTCTGGTGAGTTAGACCTCCCTGTATGATGCAGATTAAATTCTCATGCGGATAATGAGATTCAAGTTCAGAAAAAGTAAGACCAGTAGGGCAAAGACAATACATCCTTGACGCCTTGACCCCAGAAGAGCATCCCAAATCTATTCTGCTTATAGCCAGACTCATCCTCTGGATTGCTGACCGATTTCTTCTTCCTTCCACAAAAGCAACTAAAAACAGAAAGTACTTGGCGTCCATGGGCATCGCCTGGTGTGAGCCACCCAGGAGAAGACATTTGGGTTGTATTAAATATGAATGCATTGTACATTTCCCCCAGTGGAGAACTCGCCAGAAAAGCTACAGTCATAAGCAGGAAGGTCCCACACAGCATTTCTGTGGGAACTGCTGTGGATCCTAGACCATACCTCAGGAGGCCTTGACTGGAGAAACTACACTGGCTTTTTCTCCCTATTCTTCTTTTCTTTTATTCTTCTTTTTAAATTGTATTTCCTGTAGCTAAGGATGCCGGTTCTCCTGCCTCTACCTCCCAAGTGTGCTGAGATTACAGGTGTGCGCCACCAAGCCTGGCTTTATGTGATTCTGGGGAATGACCTACAGGCTGGCTGGACAAGAGCTCTGCCCGCTGAGCTATACCTGCAGCCCTGTCTCCATGTCTTTCACACCTTGGATGAGTTTATTTAAATCAGTGGAGAATCTGGGAAAGGACGCCTTTTATGTACATCTGTAGACACTCAGGATGTGGGGACCTTATGGGAGGCATCTATACTCCTTCCCTGGCCATTTGCCCCAGAGGAAACTGGATTAAAAGCCTTAAGAGAATTCTTAAACTGTGTGCACCCAGTACTATTTATGAAGATTAATGGCATTTTCAAGAAAATGCAAGGGATTTGGCAACTCATGCATTCTGAGTTAATTCTCGCCTTCTCCATGACATCCATACCATTTGTGCGGGAAGAAAATACCCTAAATACAGCCCAAGGAGTTTGCTTTTAATTTTTAAAGTAAATGCATAAATTATTTTATGTGCTCAAGATAAATTGCCAAGAAAATGCGCCGCTTAACGTAATTTCCCACCCGGCAAACACGGCGTCTGTAATTAGCCGTGGCGTTACCACCCTCAAGCCAACAACATTTGTTTCTTTTTAGGCCGCAGAAAAGTCCATGTCAACGTGGAAAGACAGCATGCCTTGTCTTCTTCTCTTCCAGGCACAGTCATGACCCCCAACTACATAGACTCCAGCAGCCTCAGTGTGGCCCCATGGTGTGACTGCACCAACAGTGGCAATGACTTGGATGAGTGCTTGAAGTTCCTGAATTTTTTTAAGGACAACACGTGTCTCAGTGAGTTCTCAAAAAACAAGGAGCATGCATGCATTCGCGTTGTCCTCTTTGAGTGACAGATCTCTCTGTTATGTCCCTCCCTCTCTCCCTCCCCTTTCCCGAGGGATGGCGGTGACTCTTGCTTATTTTGGCACGCTCAGTGACACAGCGGGGAGCCACACAGGTGATGAGCTGGGTGATGCTGAGACTGCTCCCAAAGGCCTATGCGGACAAGATATCCAAATTACCGGGGGTGACTTGAGTGGGAGAGAATACTTCTACCCACAGATCAAATTTCCATCTTGGCAGCCCGCACAGAGTTCATTCCCGGGTTCTGAAAACCTTGCTGGAATGTACAATGTGAAAAGCTCAAACAAAATGGACAGGACAGGCCTCCAAGGACTCTGCAGGGAAAATCAGAATGTTGACACCAGCAGTCCCTTGCGTTGTCAGGGCTGGCTCTGAGCAGAAGCCATGGATCTATCTTGATGGGGGAGTCTGGCCATGCCACAGGGTCACTCAGGATGCGGGTTATCGTGAGAGCTGAGCTGAGCTCTTGTGAACAGGATGCTTGTGTTTAAGAACAGGCTAGTTACTATTGTGGTACTCTCTAGGCAGTTTAGATCATGCTTCACAAAGAGATAGGGATGTGCGGATGTGAACCCTGGGCATCACCAACAGGACTTCAAAAGCAGAGCACCAGGTCTCTTGGGCACACAGCTCCATGGTGGGTGGGCATGCTCTGGACCGCTCTGCAGCTGAGACACACACAATGCATATTGTAAGGAGTATTGTAAGGCGTATTGTTTTTCTGCCTGCTGCCGGTCTTGTCCCGCCACCGCGCCAGCCCCAGTTAACACACCGAGACTCTGTATTTGATATAATTCTGTTGGCCCGTTACTAGTTTCTTATCGGCTAGCTCTGTTTTAATTATTAACCCATTTCTGTTGATCTATGTATTTTCACGTGGCTTCCTTACCGGGGAGTGGGGCAGGCGTCTGGTCTCCCCAGTCTCTCCATCTTGACTCCTCTTTCCTCCTTGTCTCCTAGTCCCTCCTATCTTCCTTTCCTATTGGCCAACAGTGCTTTATTCATTAACCAGTATGAGAAACATATTTACATAATGGCATCTCCCATCAGAGTATAGAGTCCATGCGGTTTCATTCTCTATACTCCACACAAGGCACGCGAGAACCCTAGGAGACATGGGTGTCATATGCACGTGACAGCTGAGGAGAAGAGGTAGTGTTCTTACCGACCCAGAGTGGCGGAGGTAACAATCTACAGCTTCGATCCTTGTGCATCCCCCTGGCTCCAGAAGACCTTGTTCATGGCTGGTATTGAAGGAACTATTACTACAGATGTAACCCTGAACATCTGGGGCATGGTCTGACTTCTTAAAAGAGGCGTCAAGATTCAGCCACGCCCCTGGAGAACTCTTGACAAGTTCTGTACAAAGTTATATGATTATTGGCTTTTGAAGAATTAGCTGGTGATTTGTCAGCTATTTGGAGAAAATTTCTCCAGCATTTCGCTGAAATTTCCTCATCACCTCCTCCATGAAAAAGTAAAGTTCAACTTGCTTAGTAGGTGCAGCTGCAGTGCCTGAGGTTGGTTCTCCTAAAAATAAAGTCATCTTGTGAGTTCTTAGGTAGCATTCAGACCTACAAAATGTGCCATGTGTGTGGAGGCATTCCCTGAGACATCGGGTGTCCAAGCATGTTACGATTGGGCCTCTTGTTCGGGATTCATTCGTGTTATGCATTATTATTCTTTCCACTTCTTGTGCTCTTCTGGTTGAACACAAGTTTAAGCAAAAATAAAGCAATGGAAAATGTGTTCCTCCGAGAGAAGATGAAGTTGCCCCTCGTTGGCGACATTTTGGTGAAGTGGAGGCTAGTCTTTTACATAAGACTGACTTTTACATAAAGACAAATGCCAAAGGCAGCCAGCAGCTGTCATAATCGTTCCATTTATCCTGGTTTGGATGGGACACAGGGCTGCAAATGCAGTCTCTTACAGAAGGGCTTGACCTAGAAGCTGTTGCACTCTCCGGATGGGGCTCATACCTAGAGGCTTCATTGCACCTCCCTCCAGTTAAGCCAGACTTCCCTCAGATCTCCCTACCATCAACACAACTGTGATCGGTTGTTTGTGTAATGTGGGAGTGGGAAGTGGCCATCCTCACACCAGTTCATGGCAGACGGATGTGAAGAGGGACACAGGACTTGTGTACAGAAAGCAGAAGCGTCCTCTTGGGGGCCTCCCTGGGCCACTTGATCTAAACACCAGCTGCTTTTCTGCAGGCTGCCCTTGCCTCAGCCTTTGCCATCACTTGTGTGTGGAAGCTGTTGCTTTTCTGCCTTCCTGCTCTGAAGCTCTGCTTGTGGGTGTGGCTTCGGTCTTCTGTTGCTGCCATCCCTGGAATTTAGTAGTTAGATCAGTAGCGTTTCAGTGAATGAGAGGACAGAAGGCCACACTCCTAGGAAAGCAAGGGTGGTCTTCACAAACGACAGCCCTCTCTTGACTCTCTGTGTCTAACAAGGGAGAGCAGAGGGCTGTGTTGTTCGTGTCCCGAGGTCACTTAGGGAACCTGATCTGCAGGCTCACCCTCCTACATGTTCTATGTCCCTCTTAAACCACAGGACCTACTAAAACTACGAGCTGCGTTTGTATTATTTGGAGGCTGTCTGTTGCAGAGCCCCCAAAATGAGAGTCATAGAAAGCAAGCTTTCAGTTTTGCTAAACTTGAAGGACAACACTTTTGAAGCAAAATGTCACTTCTAAGAGGAAGATTAGGCTTCAGTTACTCTGTCTCGTATATCAGAAACTGCCAAGTAAGCGTCATGTATTAGCAGTCTGCACGTTCAGGTCCCAAATGAAGGAGTTTGATTTCTTATACAATGAATATGAACAAAAAAAAAAAAAAAAATCCTAAATCCAGGGCAAATCCCCCAAAGACCTGATTAAAAACTGTTTTTTATTCATTTTGGGAAGGGAACAACACACAACCAATTTACACTTGCCATAAAAACAGTCTAATCCCATGAAATTATAATAAGCTTTGAAAGTTTCACGTTTCAAACTTTTCATTTAGACAGGGCTGTGCCTATCTAATTATGCAGATCCTCTTTGGAAGACTGGAAGCAGAAAGGAGAGAAATAATCACACCGAAATTTTCTCTAGATATCGATGAGGTTTAAGGTACATTCTTCTTCTAAGGAAGCAGGCTGCATTTTGCTGCCAAGTGAGTGTTAGAGTAGCATCAGCTTCAAGGTAAAGAGAGAGATGCTAGTTAATTTCCATCCAGGATAGAGTTCCCATACGGCACAGGTATTTATTTTTCCTTGGGAAAAAAAAAATCTGTGGCTAAGATGCGACCTCTGAGTTTGAGGATGTGTTTTAAAGGGCTCATGATAAAGACTTGCTTTGTTTATGATTAGTAAGTGTCTCACTCAGTGTTTAATAAGTGCATCCATTTTTGAGCACCTGATCCAAGAGATTGGGTCTCAGAACCAATCAGGTGATTGGGTAGATGGGTGGCTGGGAGGATGGGGATATGGGGATGGGTGGATGGGCGGATGATGGGTGGGGAGGTGGAAGAGTGGACAGGTTTGTTCTGAGACACCCAGTGCTATAACCAGAATTCTGCTCAGGCCTCTTTGGCTGTTTTCATCCTGCATGTTATGCTTGCTCCTTGCCTCTGAAATGGGATTTTACTATGTTTTCCTGCAGAAAATGCAATTCAAGCCTTCGGCAATGGCTCAGATGTGACCATGTGGCAGCCAGCCCTGCCAGTACAGACCACCACTGCCACTACTACCACCGCCTTCCGGGTCAAGAACAAGCCCGCAGGGCCGGCAGGGTCTGAGAATGAAATCCCCACACACGTTCTGCCGCCTTGTGCAAATCTGCAGGTGAGAGGTGGGTGGGGTGGCTTCTGGGAGAAAGCGTGCTCAGCGCCACTCAGGCTCCAGTCATTTCTCAAAAGGATCTTTGCATGTGCACATGCATGTGCACATGTGTTCATGTGCACGATAGGGAGCCCATGTGCGTTTGTGAGGGAGTCAGAGTGCAACCACAGTGTCCGCCTTCTTCCGTGCTGTGAGAGCCAGGCTCCTTACGAGCTTTGGGGATTGCCTCTGCTCCCTGTCTGGTTGTAAGAGTGCTGGCATTGCAGATCCAAGCCACCATGTCGTGTCTGGCTTTACATGCGTTCTGGGGATCTGAACTCAGGTCTTCATGCAGGTGTGGTGAGTACCTCACCTACTGAGCCGCCTCTCCAGCCCAGATGGTATCTGGGAGTTGCATTTTAAACACTGTAAGAGGCGATTGTGACGTCTCACAGAGTGAAGAAAAAGACGGACTGTGGAACTGACTGCCAGCTCCTGAAGATGCGACTTTGGTCAAGGCTCTATAAAATGAGGAGTCTGGGCAGATACACTACTAGTAAATTTTGTGGGGGAGGGGGTGTTAGTGTAGAGTTTTGTTGGCTCTAGGTATCTTCTGTGTTCTTGATAAACAACAGCATTATCAAAGAGAGAGTGTTTTCTTGGCTTGTCGCCGCCACAGCCATTCAAACAACGTGCAATCAGAGGCAGTATTACTAGCTGTTATGTAGAGTCCCAGGGAGGTTAGTAATTTACAAGGCAACACCAAACGCTGTTCCGGAGTAAGAGAAGATGCCACGGCGCCATGAAAAACCACGTGTGTGCACAGAGTATAGTGAGAATGGCCAAGAAACTTCTTGAACTGACCCAGGTGTGTTTGAGTTGAAGCAGGGTATAAACACAGCGTTTTCCCATCTCTGGTCAGAGGGCATACTGGATCTGTGGCTTTGTTGAGTTGTCATGGTAGTGAGTATTCAACTGTCAGCAAGACGTTAGTGATTTGGAGGTTTGCCTGGGCTCTTTACGCTTAGACGCCTTGGGTGCTCTTGTGGTGGTTGATGGGGAAGGGCAGTTAGTTACTGTGACATGGTGATCCAGTTCTTGCATCTGAGGACACAGGCTTCTGGAAAATCACGTTTCTATTCACGTCTGCAGAGCTGGTGGGTCACAGAGGCAGTGCTGGGAATCCAAGCACATCATCTGTCCACAGTTGTTCCTATATGCCGAGGGAGAGGTAACCACACGGTGACCGGGGAAATGGGTGGTTCGCCTATTTGCTGTTGTTTTGATTGTTATAGGGTCTCATGTGACACCTACGGACCTTGAACTTGCTATGTACATAAAGGGGGCTTATAGACACGTGCCACCATGTCTAGTGCATTCAGAGCTGAGGGTGGAACCCAGGGCTTCTTCGAGTGTGTTACTTTCAAGCCGCTGTGATGGGACCCCGCTCTTAGCATAAGAGTGTCTCTCCCTTTCCACCTCCCTGGCAAGGGTCAGCCCCTCTGGACCATTCTCAGTTCTTACAAATGCTGTCTTCACCCACACGTACCGTGCTCTCTAGAGCGTGTTAGGCAGGGTTTCCACCTAATCTGTATGGCACTACCTCTGAGTGCTCTTCATCTGAGTGCTGGCCTCTGTCACCTAGGTCTTCTGGGTCCCTCACTCCCACACACGGTGTCAGACATGTTCACTCACGCCAGACAGCAGGGAGAAATCAGATTACACAGCTCAAGAGCAAGCCCGGTGCTCTTGGGCTCTCAGAACCACTTCCTAAGCACTTACCATCTTCAGATCCCCCCCTCTGCAGAGTATCTGAGCCAGGAGGCCGTGCAGGCAATGGTCAGAGGCAGCTACTGCTCCGTTCTGCAGCAGGGCCCTGAGTCTGAAAGAGGAAGCGATGTGTTGAGTCTCCCGGGCTGGTGGAGGTGTATCTAACATCAGGAATGACAAGGTCTGTTTCTGGCCAGGGCTCCGTGCCTGTTTGCTCCCTTTGTGCTGTACAACACAGCCAGCCTTTGCTCTCTGTACCTCCCACCCTCAGAGTCCAGCCAGATGAAGGATAAGACCTTGTCATCACAGCCTGACAAGGTGGGCCAGGCATGCTTTCTGGTCGGTAAGGAAGGGAGCTTGTGCTTCAACAAAATCTGCAGCATTCTGTACACATTTAGATACACAGAGGGTGACTCAGGTGCCACCTACAGTCCATCAGTAAGTTTCCTCGGACTCAGAAGCTGCGTAGACCTTAACATTCAAAATCAGAAACAGAAATTCATTCCTCAGTGAACACAGGCTAGTAGGCAGGCTGCACCTTTCCCACAGTTTGAAGAAGGTCACATGGGGTAAGTAGGTGACATCTCAGATTGGAAACCATGGCCTTCCAGGTTCCCTCTTCCCGTGAGTGGAGAAGACTCTTTTAGCTGCAAAACGTGTCCCCTGCTTCTCCAGTCCTTTCCTTGTTGCTAATTCCAGCTCCTGACTTGGGTTCTTGTGGTGCACATCTCAAGTCCAGCACAGATGTGCCCAGCCAACCCTTCCTACCGGGAGGGCTCTGTGGTACCGCTGTGTAGTTGCCCTGGCAACGCTGAGCACACCTGAGCAGCATTCCCCCTGAGCAGCATTCCCCCAGAAACCATTCCTTTCCAGTCCCCATGTTAGCATAAATACAAGAACAAAGGTAAAATTCAAGTGTGATGTCTACCTCGGGGTTGCCTCTGTTGACTTCTCAGGGGTTTCACAGAGCCTGTATTTACAGCTGAGATGTAAGATGAGGGTGTTAGCACGTTCGTGCTAACTCTTGAAGCCTCATCTTCCTCGTCCAGGGTTCGTGAGTATTGCCTAGCTGCTGGGCAGTGATCATCATCATGACAGATCCTTAGTCAGCTGATCACCTGACCCATCTGTTAGACGGGGTCTGGGGCGTGCTAAGGAGCGCTGATGGCAGACAGAAATGGCAGATGGATAGTAGTGCATTTCATGCTTTGGAATGTCACCGCTCGCTCCCCTTCCCCCTCAGAGCACCCCTGCGGGGCTCACATTGCAGGCACACTTTCTTTTCACGGAAGAGACAATTGAGAGGACAGTGACTTCACCTCCACAACCAGTGTCTGGGGCAGGCTCGCCCCAAGGGCAGGGTGTCGTGGCTCCTGGACAACGGTGTCTTTCTGCGTTAGGAGTGGTCAGTGAGAGGACACAGAGGGCGGGGAGGAAGGAAGGGGAGGCTGCCCTAGTTCCTGCTGAAGTTCATTCCAGGAATGAAACAACGGCAAATCTAAAGTTCACCCTTCACTCATTCCTACTCCTGTCTTCAGGTCCAGGACACGGGGGGCAGAAAGTTCTGTAGCTCGATGACCTCGTTAGGGCAGCCTACATGAAGAAGGGGGTGAAGGCTAATCTGAGGTCACAGATTGGGGCTAGAGACAGTGACAAGTGAGTGGCCTTCACCCTGAGGACATGGTCCCTCTGGCTGATTTAGGGCTGAGCTCAGTGCAGGGCTCCCAGGAGGCACATTCTCCTCAGATAACTGCCTTCCCTTCGTGCCTGCCTGGCTGCACATGAATTACCATTTGCCTGGGGGAGTGGGGGAGGGGGAGGGGGTGGGGGAGAGGGATGGGGGGAGGGTCCTGGAAATATCTTCGAATAGTGTTTGTCCCTGCTGCCCTGAGTCATGACTCAGAATTAGAACTTACTTAAACCAACTGGGGATCCACTGGTACCAGATCTTGAGACAGTCAAAGACCTAGGCAGCCTTAAAGATCAACTCCTTAGAGATGCACCCTCTTGTAATATTTTTAAATACACAATAACATGGAAAGACTCTGTGGGACTGGAGAATCTGCCTTAACATTTGAGATAGACTCCCCTTTGAAGGAAAGGAAAAGAGTAAACATACTTTTTTTCAAAAGTCTGCCTAGAACCAACAGCAGGTCTGCATGGGGGGGATGGGCGGCTCTGGGCCTGGTGATCATGGGCTCATGGGTCGCTGCTGCGGAAGGCTCTACTTTAAAAAAAAATTTTGATTGATTAGTATAAAATGTCAAGGAGATGTCCAAGTGCTGGCCCCCTGAGGTGATAAAATACTGGGTTTGGGGTAACCCACCAAGCTCCCGTGGCAGGATTAATTGGCAGCCTAGTAATAACAAGCGTCACGCAAGCTGTGCTATTGTTAGCCTATCCCTCTGACTTGTATGAAATGGTCACACAAGAAACAAAGAAACCTTAATAATTCTACAAATTACTTCATCATCTGTGCACTTGAGTGGCCTGGCAGCTGGAAGTTCTTTGAGTATTTAAACCAAAAGAGTGTACTTGTCGCTTATTTAAAGTAAACATCTCTGGGGATGTAAATGGATATTGGAAAGTGTTTGGAATCACTGTGCCCTCTTATGACCAGCGCCTCCCTCCCCAACCCGGTGAAGACCCCTTGATGGCAGTACCCAAAGACCTCTAGGATCTAAATCTAACTACAGTAGAATTATGTTGGGTGTCTGTAGGGGAGAGGGTCCCAAGCCTGCTAAAATCTATACCCTATTTACTTTTGGGAAGAAGAGTCTCACTTTGTACTCCAGAGTGACCTTAAATTTGTGTCAGCCTGCTTACCTCGAGTGCTGGGATTTTAGAGAAGAGTTACTACACCTTCATCAGGTCCTATATGTGATAGTGTATGTGTGTGTGCAGTTTCGTGTGCAGGCTTGTTGTGAGTGCAAGTGAACATGTTTGAGTGTGCACATGTAGGGCAGAGGTCAGTCTCCAGTGTTATTCTAGACAGGGGACGACGCTTTACCTAGAACTTGTGGTTAGGTTTGGCTGGTTGGTCGGTGGACCCCAGTGGATATTGGTCTGTGGTGCTGGGATGACAAGCATGTGGCTGCTTATATGTAAGAACGCTCTGGTGGCCAAACTCAGGTCCATGGTGTTTGCATGGCTTGAGTTTCACTCACTGAGTTACCTCCCTAGAAAACAAGGTTTGGTTTGGTCTGAATTTTCTCCTGGGGTTGGTTGACTCCTTAGTGATGGTAGATTAGTGG